TCGCGAATCACAAACACCCATTGACCTTGATGACATAAGCGATGCCAGCCCTGCCGATAGCCTTCGTCTGTGGTCACAGAGAATTGAACAATCCGTCGATGACACTATTCGATATATGCATCGTACCGATGCATTTCGTTATCCAACTAAGTCTTTACCTAGGCAATTTCGTGGCCGATGTCAAAAACCGAAGATGATTCCGATCACTATCCCCAAGGGGTCGAAACATGATATAACAGAGGCCTATAACCCACCGTGCGAGTCAACTTCAGTTCGTAGCCGTCAAAAGATCAGACAAGTACGACGGTTGAGATGCCTTCAACGTTTGTGCCAAAAGCATGGACATCAAGAGTCACATATCGACCTGTCCAGTCACCCATCAGACCTCCTGCCCTTGTGGCAAGCTATTCGATTAGCTCCAGGGTATGGACGATCGTGGGAACGCTGGATCCTGCAATTCGATGTTATCACCACGGTCCATATTAATTCGGTCACGTGGAATGATCTGGATAATATGCTTCAAATAACTAAATTCGATTCTGATCTTTACTGTCGACAGGAACACAAACTTCGCATGGCATCAAATAAGCATTTAGCCAAGCTTGATCAAACACACAAATCAGGTGCCAAGCCCTATAAATCTCTCAAGGCAGACGAAAATAAAATTTTGCCAGGATTCCCAATCATGCACGAATGTTTGGCTACCCTCCGTCGAAGTCCTAAAGGTGAAGTTCATATTCAGATTCATTCCCCTATCCAATTCAAGCTTTATGCCAAATTAATGTTTGGGACCGCAGAATTGATCTTACTTGCCCAAGAGGCATGCCATCTTCGTGCATCATTAATTTCGGGGGTTTGTCCCACGCAAGATATGGTTCGACAACATACATTTGTCTATCGTGCTACCGATATGACAGAGCCTTTTCGCGCCTATTGGAGCCAGTACTGGAACAGAGATTCAGAAGAAGAAGAACTTGGTGATTCAGCATGGCAAGACACAATCGACCAATTGACAGCAAGAATCCCCCCAACTGAAGTACTCCCCATTGTGTGGGATCAATCTGACATCATTAGCCAGACTATTTCTAAACTCAAGCCGTATAAGGCTCCAGGAATCGATGGCTGGCGGGCCGAAGAGCTAAGATTGCTACCTCCCAGTGCAGTAATATCTTTGGCTAAAGTGCTCTCCAGGATATGGCATCAAGGCCTGGGTAAAGATCACATGATTGCCAGAGTGGTTCTTCTTGCCAAACGTAATCCACCAGAGACGATAGGGGATGGACGTCCCATCACCATCCTGGGCTACTTATCTAGACTGACATCTAAGATCATTGCTGACCAACTTTTGCGTTACTGGGGGCAACGGTGGCCGGCAGCGATCGCAGGCGGATTGCCTAATAGAGGGGTCAAAGACATTTCATTCATGCAACAGTTTCGGCTTGAAACATGCAAAAAACACAATCAAGCGTGGATGGGTTTTACCCTTGATTTGGTTAAAGCATTTAACTTACTCCCCCGGCGTGTGATCTATCACCTCCTTGTTTATCATGGAGCACCACCTTCCGCCATTAAGTTTTGGTTCTTAAATTTGACAAGGATGACACGGAGGTTACAGGTACGATCTGCCATTGGTGAACCCATCACCATGACAACAGGGGTCCCTGAAGGGGATAGCCTATCAGTCTGTAGTATGCTGGTCTTGTCCTCTGCCTACTACTGGCTCATTAGAAGTCCGAACCTCGACCCATTTTGCTATGCGGATAACTGGTCTTATCTGACCAGCTCCCAAAGGGAGAACTATCAGGCCTTTACTCGTATCCGTCAATTAGCACTTAATCTTCGCTTACAGATTGACTATCAAAAGTCTTGGGCATGGGGGACGACTAAGGTCGCAAGAGAAAAATGGCAGGAGACATTACAAGACGTCATGGAGAACCCGGACGATGTTCGAATCCTCAATTCAGCTAAAGATTTAGGATGCATGTGTCACTATACCAAGCAAGTCGTGTTAGGTCACCTTAAAGAAAAATTTTTGAGCGCTGCGACCCGCTGCAAACGCCTGACACACGTTGCTACCGACCTGCCACAAAAGGCCTCACTCATACAAACGGCCATATGGCCTCACGCTTTCTTTGGAGCAGAATCCCAACTTGTTGGGGAAAATCACTTCAAAGAATTGCGTCGTGCGGCAACCACGGCCTTGGTCGGCCCCGAGCAACAGGCTTCCTCATGGCTGGCCATGCAGTTTCTGTCCCTGCGTTTGCAAGACCCTCTCCTTTATGTGATCTGTACGGCGCTTTCCTTCCTACGGCGAATGTTTACACATCATCCGGAGACTGCACAGCTTTTTCTTGAAGCGGTCTGTACTCATACAGGTAACCCTCATGGACCAGCAGGTGCATTGGCGTGCTATCTTCACCGAGTCCAGTGGAAGATTACATCCGATGGTCTGGTCATCTGTCCAAGTCAGATTCGCATTTCTGTTAAACATGATACGCCTGGCGCAATTCGTAAATGGTTGCGGAGGGCATGGGATGATGTTGTCTATGATCGAATCCGACATCGTAAAGGGGTTACGAATGTACCATTCCATGCAGATTTGTTCCACAAGGTGCTTCATAAACTCACACCCACCGAGATTAAGATATTGGCCAAGGACATAACCGGTGGCTACCAGGTTGGTGCAGTTAAGGCGCAGTGGTCAAGTACAACTGACGGTAACTGTCCATACTGCCAAAAGCTTGATACGCATTCTCACCGTCAATTGCAATGCCCTGACTTTGAACAGGTACGAAACACACATCCATCAGCTATTCAGATCCTTCGTGCCAATCCATATATGTTACATTTCCCACTCCCTCTTCAGCACGAGTCAGTCAGTAGACTCCGATCGTTGCTTTGCCAACGTGGTCAGGTCCCTTGTGTAGCCACCATTGAAACTACTACCAGGTCCATATTCCTGTACACGGATGGTTCGGCTGATACCCCCTCGGTGACCGAATTCCAAAGGGCCGCGTGGTCGGTCATCCAATACAATCCAGACTGTAACCTTGTGCCATTCCGAACTGTCCTAGTCCAGCATGTTCATGGTCGTCAAACAATTTCGAGAGCAGAACTTGCCGCCATTGCATGGATCGTTCGAGAATGCTACATTGCGGCCATCCCTGATCAAGTCATTATCACCACAGACTCTCAATATGCCATTAATGTAATTAGACATGTTACACAGACCCCGCAAATTGTCATCCCTCCTCACATGGCTCATAGTGATCTACTACAGGACATCCAAGCCCATTGGATCCCTAATCAGTTCATCATTCGAAAAATCAAATCTCATCAGATGTTATGTCATGCCAAAAATGGGGTAGAGGAAATTGACATTAGTGGTAATGACTTTGCAGATCGTGCCGCAGTGTGTGCTCGTAAAACTGATCACCCTGATCATCATAATCTTTTCGCAACAGTTGAAGCGTGGAATCAGTCCCAGCTCTATCAAACTCTTTGTGTTTTGCGTTATCTTCACGATCTTAATTTGGCACATATCCAGCGAAAAGAACAAGCCAAAGTCAGTGATGATCACAACCAAAATGATGCTCCAAATCAGAATTGGGGCAATATTCATCAGGCGCGGGCTCATCATCAAGTCATACAACCCTTGGTCATCTCTCCACCTGATATCCATCCTCATGTCTTTACTGCTTGTTTGTGGGGTGCTGATTATGCCAAACTTGTGTTGCAGTTTTTTCTGTCCCTGCGTTGGCCGGATCCTGACGGGACCCATGACGCGGTCACCAAATCAGGGATCACATGGCATGAGCTTGCAATTGCATTCATACTTCAAACGGGACTTCAATTTCCCTGCTGGATTAAGCCGCCGAATCGATCTCGAGCTCGTCCCCATCATTTTCTGGATCCGAAAGTCTTAGCGCTTCCATCTAAATTACGATCACTTCGTGAGCAGGCTGATGCAATTCGTATCATAATTCAATATCTACAAGGATTCTGTCACACTCGTCTCTATCCGAAATTTCACAAAACCGCATCCAGCAGTCTTGTGCAAGTAGGATGGGGGAGGACGTATACAGGGGGGTTTCCGTTACGTCCGCAATTTGCCAATTCGGAGGCGACTCAAAAGACCTTGCAACAATACGCCCAAGATCTTGGCATCAAGCCTCCATTTCATCCACTTGGTCTTGTTCCAATGCAGCTTAGTCAGGTTGTCTTGAAAGCTGACGCCGTCATTAATCTCGATTACTCCCAATGCTATCATTTTCGTAAAAAGCTACGGGAGGTTTGGAACAAGGGGGGAGATCTTGATGCCCTGACACCCCCGGCGCCTCCTAATTAGATCCGTAATTCAGTTTACACTTGGTAACCCCAACTAGATGCTGCGCGGATATTCGGTCTCACCTAGCTAGTGGTGGTTGCTTTGTGTATTGTGCATGTTTTTGGATGTGTGGGTACCAACCCTATACATCTTGGGATATTTCACAGACTCCCGGGTACCCATCAATACGATGAAGGGCCGCGGGAAGCGACTTGGATTGGTGCGCAAGTTCCGTCGGTGGATCAACCAGGGTATCCTAGCAGTTCTTCCTTTGGATACATGGTTCGACCTGGAGCCGATTCGGGGTCGACCCAGGCGCACAATTGAAAGACTCTCAGTTGGATGGTCAGACCATCGTTCCAAAACTCTGCGCAAATTGGCAGTTAAAGTGACCGGTGCATACCGCTGCTATATATTCAGTGTCCATGCGCCCATTTTCAAAGAGATCAATCAACAGTTTCTCAAAGGCATGCCTTGGTGTGAAGAGGGGCAGACATTAAGTTCACACATTTTTTGGTGGCTCAACTTGAGCCTCACATCATGCAGGAGACCATGAATAGCCTCACACGGCCTCACATAGATGACCGAAGTTTAGGTGGACCAAAGGACCCTCCCTGGATGAACCAAAGTGAAAGAGGTTGGATGAGCCACACTTGTGCCATCTTGGGCCCAGATCATGATGCTCCAGCCATTTGGGCCGGCTACCTCAGATGGGATCCGGAGCACGCGGAGCACCGGAACAAGCTACGGAACAAGCAGGACCCGCGCCAGTGAAGCGCGGGATTGGGGTGGACCATGCACCTGACATGAAGGAGTTCGCTTGACAACGAGCGTTTGGGTCAGCCGGACAGTTTTTATCGGATGTAGGGACTTGGAAGGGCCGTGCATCCATATGGATACACAGGCACAGGGCACACAGGGCAGGCGCACTGCTGACCATGTTCCACTGGTGACTCGTCACCGGTGGTTGAGGCATGTTGAGGCTGCGTCAGACCTTCCAGCTTACCACCCACCACGCTTTTTCACACAGCCTCGGAATCCTCCTATGGCCTCCGGACTCGCACTCGGAGAAGCGAAAGAAGACATACCCCTGTGACCTGTGGATCCTTGCTTAAGGCGATGTGTTCCTTATGGATCCGGTGAAATCCACCCAACTCCTGAGGAAGATGTCTGTTGTTTGCAGGTGGTTCTGAACCGGATCCCTGATCCGGTGCAGTCCCCCTTCTGGTGGATAGGAAGAGGTCCAGGTTCCTAGAAACAAATCCAAGATACCCACTCATCTTTTTCATCCTTTGGAATGTACATGTTTGCCGGGGCGGATCGTGGGATTTGATCGGATCATGATCACTGGACTGTGATAAAGTAGCCTTACAGTAGGGGGTGTCCTAGGAAATCTGTAACAGGAACGGTAAACAAGCCAGTCACTATTTTAGCGGAATGCCTGCAACCTAACCATCATCAAACACTGTTACAGGGAGTAGGATACAGCCAAATTATGCCAGTGAGGGCAACTGTTTTTGATTCCAACGTTCCATCTCGTCAATTTGCTTCTCGGGTGTCCGGCCAAAACTAGCTTGTTCAGAGTTCTTCTTACTGCTTGGCGTGGCTAGAACTGCCCATTGCTTTCTGGAGTTACTGGAGTGAACCACTAAACAGGCACTGACACATTTGTATGACACAGACATTTGAATCAGATAATTAACTAAGTAATTATCATAAGAACTATAATTATTACACATATGTGTGTGTGACACATAAAACATCAGACAACTCATCATCATGAGTCATGAGTCATCATTCCAATCTATATCTCCCATAGGGTTTGCAGATAGCCTCCTTGTTCAAGATGCGCCATAACGAAGCTGAATAGTATGAGGTGCGCCAAACGAGACTAAATAAATCGAAGAATCTCCCCCAGCCAAAATCCGATACCGCGACCCGGACCTCGGAGAAATGGGATGATGCTCCCTTCTTCTTCTTTTTCTTCTTCTTCTTCTTTTCTTCATAGGGATTGATCAGTCGTCGTACCACACCTCGGTGATTTTTGAGACACTGTGATGACTGTGATGTAGGTGCGCTACAGTCGTGCCGAACCTGAGAAGGTATGTCGGTGGATGTAGACTCATGTAGACGAAAGAACGAATTCATCAACCCCCCCCTATGTTTCAGAGGCTTTTCAATCCAAATTGGAGGGTGGGGGGTTATGAATTCTAGGAGTCCTACTATGGGACGCTGTGGTACCGGGTGCCTCATGGCACCGGGCAGTGTTTGAGCGACCGCCTAGGTGTGCAACGGCCGACGGATCGATCTGGAGGCGAAATCGCGCCGCCCCGCGTCAGTCGTCCGTGGTAGAAATCGGGATCAGTTGAACCGTGTGGATCAGGGAAGGTCTTCCGGGAAGGTCTGGTGGTTTAACCATGTTTCACACAGTTGAACAGTGGTTTCACCTGCCAATAGATCATACTGTATAATATAACTATAATCCTTTTTGGGGCTGGGGGATGATTTTTGCTGGGGACCTCAAGGTGAGTAAGAAGATCTTGGTGGCACTTCAGGCTGTTTTCATGTGGCGGTTGCAGCCTCGGGCCACTGTTCACAAGTGCGGCCCAGCTCTCGAGCGACCACGTTTTCGACCGCTCGAACGGACTTTCCGCTTGTGGAGACCGCTCTTCAGCGCGGCCATTGCGCCGTTCTTCTGCGCAGAATGTGTGTGGTCAACATCCATCCACATGGGGGGAAACCCCATTTCTCTTTGCATGCGCTGATGTTTGTGTTCGGCTCGTCTTTCCTTGTACATTTGACTTGTACATGCACCGCACGTCCTGAGCAGACATGCTGTGCTGGCCATGAGTGTTTGCGGTGTTTGCTAGCTTGGGAGATGCGAACATGTGGACAAGATTCATTTCTTATATTTGATTCCCTGGCCAGGAGGTCCAAACCTCAAGTCTTTATTTGTTTCAGTGTGTCATGGACCAGCTTCGTTTTTGGTTGGAACTGGCAACGATCTGAGCAGCAGTTTGGTCACACAGGCACTCAAAACTACCTAGTGATAGACTCGTGCATTGCTGGCACCGTTGTCAATCCATCAGTCAGAACGGATACTGCGGAGACCCGACCCACCGTCTCCGTTTGTCTCGTCTGATGCACCACAGACTGTGCATGGAATGGATTCCTCCATAAGTACCAGCATGTGCTGCGATCGCCGATCGCACGAGCCCCACCTTCGCTCCCCAGGCAGGAGGCGCTCCGATCTCCGCGCGACATGTGGGGCGCCTCGCACTTCGCGAGTTGCGCGGCGTTTAGTGGAGTGGAAAATGAAGGGCTTTACAGTTAAATAGTTGATATTTGTAAATAGATAGATACAGTTACCCTGGGAGTCAAAGACCATAAAAAGAATGGTCTTCAGGTGACCCGAAAAGGAATTTCCTTTACTTTAGTCAGTAAACATATAGTCTTTGGACTTCTAGGGGTTAGTTATAAAATATATAGTCATTTTTTTGTTGAATGGTGAGTCCCATGACCAGTGACAGCGGGCAACAGTTTGTCACTAGTTTTGAGAAAGGCCTGTGTCCCATAACCATCATCATCCGCTGGGCCCTGGTAATGGGACAACATCAGATAACCCCCTGGCCCCATGGGTTTTGGTCTATGCGTCCTTTGAACCAAAGGTGAGGCTGCCATTTCTTCCTTTGACTCGTTCGATGATACTTCAACACGTAAGCTGGACCAGTAACCCTGCCAATCGTTTCCTCCTTCCTTATGTTCATTCCGCACCTGCCAGTGTGAGAGATACTCGGGCAAGGATTCTGATGAAACACATGTAAGGGTTGATCCGGTAGGACGTCGCACACTAACATCCACATCATCATGTCATTTGTGTAGTCAGTTTGAAGACTGGAATTGTTGAGCATTTTTCCATCAGCGGCAACCCACACCCACAGAACTTGTTGACAAATACCAGGACAATAGTGAACCATGTTGCATCATGTTTCACTCACTAATAAGTTGTTCCTTTGTCCACGCGTCAAGTGTTGCCATACACCTTACCATCTTGAGAAGACGCCTTTTGGTTCTAAAGGCGGCTGGTTGCTATGAGCAGCACGTAGGTGAAACGGCAGAAACAGCACAAGACATTGCTTTTGCTGTCATGTCAAGCCTTGAGCTTTCGGCACCCAGGTCCATGCGCTGGAGCTTCTTGAGGCCGGTGATAATCAGATCTGTATCAACATGTCGTACATGAACTGGGCAACGCATCAACCAATGCCTTGGTTCAACTGGGAGATGTCTCTACCAATTTGGTTGTCATTCAAGGGATTGCAACAACAGGCAAGGCTCGAGTCGTCGCTTCAGCGCTGCATGTCGATCGAACTAAGCACGATCGATGGAACTTCGGCCCCTGGGAGACGCCCATTGCCTTTGCCCGTGAGCCCGTGTGCTGACTGCGTCGCAAAGACCCACTGAGCAGCAAGAAAAACGGGGTATCTCCAAAGACCCACTGTCTTCGGCAGTCATGTGAAACGAATCTCGAGTATGTTAAAGACCTCCAACCGGTGGGTGTTGGTTTGTTTCCCTTCTACGGTCTGCATCCTTTCAAAGCACACCCACATGTAGCTGCAGCAGTCCTTTTGATTTCGCTAAACCCACAGAGAACCACACTGGTGACCCAAACCAAACCCCATGGCCCTCGTTCACCTCAGGGCCAATACGATCTCTCGAAAAGCGCCAGCGATGACGAGAGCGAAGAGGCCCAGGTGTGCCGCACGCGATGGGATCGAACGACCGATCAACCATTAACCGACCAATGGGTGAGGGGTTGAACGACCCCACAGTGAAACGGCGACAGAAGACACGGTTTTGGACACCGCCACTTGAAGCCTTTTGGGAAGGTGCAACCCCAACAAAAAGAAGGGGACGAGTTCGGAATAATAACTTTCTACGGTGTAAAGAAGAGGACTTTGCTCAATACATATACTCAAAGGAGCGATGTTTTCATTGATGTGCCCCTTAGCCTTGGAGATCGTAAACGGCAATTGAAAGGCAGATCAAAGGGTGAATCTAAATACAGTCGGCAAGAGAGAGTACTATAGACTATCGTTTTTGTTGAAAGGCCTGCGACCGAACCAGGATCCGACCTTGGAAGGTTGGGATATATACCCAATAGATCCCAATAGTATCAACTCAACAATACACCCCAAAACCGGGCGGCCGAATTCGGTTGGACCAAGGCGGGCCGATTCGTGCCACCGGTGGCGGAGGAATATATGCCCATTCGTGTGTTTTTTCGGACGGCCCATTCGTGTGTAGCGATCTGGATCAGCGGCCAGAACGGGCCACGGTGAAGCCAAAAAAGATCCGAAACAAAAAAGAACTGGTGTTGAAGCCTGGTGTTGTTATTGTTGCGTTCTTGTTTCAAGAACAAGCGTGTGTGGGTGTGTGTTTGTTCTTTTTCCCCACTGGGGTAATTGAAATCTAGCATAATCTAGCTAATCTATCTAATCTAATCTTATCTTATCTATTTATCTTCCTATCCTATCCTATCCTCTAATTATCCATTCGACGCCTCCTTTGGTCCATACCGGCCCTGCCGTCTGCGACGACGCAAGTGTTGGGACCACCGTTGGGACCGACGTGCACCGTCCGGCACCGTCCGCGCTTCGCCGCAGGAGGAAGAGGCCAAGGACCGGAGACGTGTTCACGCCGGGCGGGCGGACGTCAGGCGACGGACACGACGGACGTGAGGCTTTTGGTGAATGGATCAGAGCTGGAAGCAAGGTGCCAAGAGATACAGAAGTCATGAGGTATATTTGAGTCCGTTCTCAGAAGTTAAACATAGTTAACTATGATTTTTGCAGATGAAAGTACTCGCTGCCCATTCCCACGGGTGCAGCGTTTTCCAGTTGCGGCGCAAGTGAGTTCCACCCAGTTGGTTCTTTTGGTGAGATCTCTCAAGTGCAAAAAAAGATACATGACTCTGACAAAAAGGACAGGCCCAACAGCGGGTTCCAAGAATGTGTGCTGTCTACTTGGTCACTCAGTTTGCTGTAAAAAAAAGGGGGTGAAAAGTCGGAAACACCACCTATGCTCCGCTATGCTCAACAGGGGGGATTGCTTTGTTCCATGGTGCGGTTCGCACGCCTTTTCTCCCAGAGAGGCCTTGTCTCAATGGCTGGAGATCGACGGAAACGAGAGCACCGGGAGCCTGCCAGTTTGGGGGACCTAGCGGGTTGCTGGAAGAGATATCATTTGTTATCAGATGCGGTGAGAAAAGAACAAACACTTTGAAGATCCTAAAGGATTGCAGAGTACTTTTGTGTTTTTTTGCTTCCGTGGATGAGATAAGCGGATATATGTGGATGATGTTTGATTTATCAATATTTGTTTATATATTTATCATGATTTCTAATTTGAAAACGATCTTACTTGTTGAATTGAACAGAAATAATCTGGAGATTTAAGCATTCAGGTGGAGGTACATACAAAAACCAGAGCTTCAATCTCCCAGTTGAGAGCAACTCCATCCAACCCCCACCACCGGCAGCTTCAACCACCAAAAAAACACATATTCCCAACTTGGGAATTCCCAGATCATCCATGGGTACCATCCATATGTAGCCCCTTGGCCTATTGTGGACCCAGACGACCGGCACTGGATCCATCCCAAAGAAGAAAATCCAAGTGTATATACCTGGATCTTCCAACTCATGCAACCATGGTATGCCTCAAATTGGTTGGTTGCTGTTTTTTTCTAAAGGATTTTAGAGGCTCAGAAGCAGACAGAAACCGCTATGAAGGCACCCGACACGATCCGCCCATCCGCCCAAGCAATTCCCAGGTCGCCACTCGGTCCGCTCTCACTCGACTGCAGGCGAGCGTCTACGGCCTGGTGGCGGCGATCCGCTCTGAGGCGCCTGGCGGTTGAGCCGAGCGGTTTGGGTCAACCAGGAGGCGGACCGCCATTGCAGGCGATGGGATCTAAATGAAGGCGAGGGTATTCTCCTGACAGGGAATGTCAATGGCCAGGCCTTCCAACTGCAAAACACTTGAACTCACTTGGACTCATGTCGAGGACCATCAATGGTCGAAGGGTCCTTTTTCTTGGCCACCGCAAGCCTCCCAAAACGGAATAGTTCGTACCCCCATGCTGGGGGATGGTCTGGGAGTGACTCCCAAAACAAGTTTTGGAGCATGAAACCGTGGTCCGGGATCTGTTTTTGACCCCATGACACTCCATGGGACTGGAAGATATGCCACCCCAGAAAGACCCCCCTGGCACCCACCCCTGGCCTGATCGGCAGTCCTATGGCAGTCTGTAGCGGTGGTTAGCACAAGGAGGTGATTGGGCTCAACCAAATGGGTCTTCTATCAAACCGAAGCAGCAAGGATCCGTGGATCCTGATCACGCCTTTTCCACACAAGGCCACGTCAGGCCTGAGCACCAGCCATGGGTCGAGCTGAGCCGTCAAAGAAGGGCCCTTCCTGTGGAGCCAAGAGACATAGGATGCATGTACATGTCACAAGCTGAACCTGAAAGGCTGGAAGTTGCATCAGCCCACAAAAAAAGAGTCAGCTTGTGCACCTCCGGCGCTCACATGCTTCACCGCTGTCTTGCCACGTTTGGCATTCTTCTTGGCCGCAGTGAAGGTGGGGTCAAAAGCTATGCACCAGAGGAAGCTTCCGATAAATTTCATGAGGCTCAAGCGACAGTCTGGCCTCTTCTTCGTCATGGAGTCTCCAAGGTCGTAGTCGCTGGCGAGCCACCGAAGAGAGCATCCAGCGCGGATCATCTGCTCTCGAAGCTGCAGCGCCTGGAGCGCAGATCGAAGGTTGCTCAACCCCAGCATGGGGCTTTCGTTGACCTGCACCGCATCGTATCCTCCACGAGAGTCGGTGCATACGAAGCCAGCCACCTCGCGGGATTGCCGCTCAGCCCAAGCGACATGGTCCACAGGAGTTGGACGGTTCCATCTCCAGCTTGAACTTCAGCATCGTTGGATCCTATGGACTTGCGCTTCAACTTCCATGACTTCCATGAAAGGAGGACCATCAGACAGACTTGTCCGCTTCTGGCTTGCGGGCCAGCCATCGTGGTCACTAGACCACCCGCCCGTGGAGTCATGTCCAGGTCTATACTTCACAAGCTCAGAGAGGAGGATGTTGCATCGGCCACAGGTTGCGTTTGCACGGCCAACCATTGAAGTGAGCCGAGGGCTCCTCGACAGGCCATTTGCTCTGCAGCAGTGAGCTTTGCTTCTTCATCGCGCATGCGATCTTGAGGTATGTTCACATCGCAAAGCATGTCTATGTAGTACTGCTGGTTCACGGTGATGACCCGGTCGCCGTCGTGGTCTCTGGTGACTTCGATGTCTGTACCAGCGTGGCGGTATGAGCCAACTTTGGCAGTGCCCCAAGTGTAGGCCTCGTCGATGGACCGCTTGATGGCTGCCCACTCCTCATCATGTGGACTGCCAATACGATGAAAATCATCAACATGTCCGCCCATCATGCCAATGACCAGAGGAACACCATGTTCATCCTTACGGGTGGCACTGGTCCAAATCCAAAGGCACCTTTCTCCCATGCAGGGTCGACCGCCAAGCTTGCACAGAGTCTCATGCAAATCAAGCCATGGACCTCTTGGAGCCGTGGTGCGGCCGTAGATGTTCTTCATGATCTTCATGACTCCTTCAGGTCCCACTTGGAGAGCTTCACGGAGTTCCGCAACACCAGTGGTCCACAGTTTGGCATCTGCGGATGTCGGCTTGGTCTGCAAGAAGGCAGTGGCGAGGTCCAACCCTTCAAGAGGCCAGTCATGTTGACATACCATCTGGTACAGGAGATTGCGAGCGAGCACTGATTGCACAGGACTGCTTGTCTTGTAGTCGGTGGAGCCTAACTCAGGATGTTCATAGCCAAGGAGCACTATGCGCGCTTTGGTCTTTCGGTCTCCTTCGCGGGTGTGGACTGTCTTGGAGTTCTCGACAGCATCCCTTTTGGCATCTGCACGGTCCTCAGGAGGAACTAATTTCCAGACAAGTACCCATCGGGCACGTAGAACACGGCCAGGGCCAAGAGCTTCTTTGATCTCCTGATCATCTAAGCATTTCCTCACGGCCTGGTTCTGAACGAAGCTGGATACCTCCTTGGCCTTTGCTCGATTGAAGAGTGCCTGATGCTCTCTAGAGAGTTTGCCAAAGACAACTTCACTATCGCATCTTCTTGACCAGGAATGCAGAGGGATTGTGCAGGAAGGCCTTCTTGGATCTATTGGAGTCCAGGTCGAGGTCAAGCTCAATGGTGAAGACCTCGTTGTCATCGGCAATGGCTGCCTGAAAGATCTTCCAGTGTTTGTCTTCTTCATCAATCATGTAGTTGATCCACATGAGGTTATCAGCCGTTGGAACTTCACGTCCAGGGATTGCTGAGGATGAAGCCCTTGCAGAAGATGATGAAAAGGTTGTGGTCTCCTCACGCCTTGGAATCTTCTCTGGTGGCTCCTCAACATCTTCAGGTGACGTGGGTTCATAGTCATTGACCATAGGTGGAGGTTCAGGACCAAAGAGTTCTGTCTCCAGCTCATTTCTCTCACGCCGTTCCCGTTGGGTCAGCAGCATCTCTTCAGGAGGGACAGCTGTCTAGCCAACTAGCTCTGCGCATGGGGACCAGCATGGTCTCAGGATCAGGCTGATCTGATATAGGTCAGGAGCTTCACGTTCATCTTCACCTGGTGGTTGATCGGCGATGTCGATGAAGTCTTTCTTGGCAAGAGGTCAGAAATGGACCGCCACTGGGTAGGACCCTCACGAGTGCTCAGCTCATAGGTGATCTGCTCGGCAGGAGTGACTGGTGTACCGAGCATCTCATCAATTGGGACCCAATGACAACCCAAACAATGTGGCGACGTTGGTCTTCAGGTTGTTGATGCCCAAGTACTTCATGAAAAACAACTCGCCCAGGACCAACCCATTGTGGTTCGCGAGCTTTCTTGGACCCACCTCGTCGGCCTTGATACAAGGAAGCTGGCCATTCAGGTCGCCAGACTTTCACCAACTGTGTCGGGTGGAAGGTGCGAAGAGGTTGGCGAACATTGCTGTTCTTGAGTTTGCTCATGACTCGAAGTGATCTTGTCTTCCGAGCCACTGTTTCAGCATCTTGTCGGGCTCGAACCAGGGACTCATATATGGGACATATGGTCCTCATAGTTCTCAACCTCTCGGAAGGTTCGCAGGTCCTCATCAGTAGCCCTTGGTGTACTCAGTCGAGTTGAGAGCTGCACACGCAAGCATCAAACTCACACGTGGATTGAGATGTGGTTGATTAATTTGAATGGCTGAAGCTGTCATCTTAAGGTCCTTGATGGCAGATTCAACAACGCCATGTGCCCATGACTCCTTTTCAGCAGGAAATGCCAACTGTATCCCAATGCTACTGCAGAAATCGTGCATCTCGCGACTTTTGAAGGTCTTGGAGTTGTCAGGCACGAGGATCTCAGGTTTTGGCTTGTCCACAAGCCAGCGTGTCCACAAGCCAGCGTTCAGAGAAGCCGGTGATGACCTCAATTGCCGTTTCTCCTTGCATCTGCAAGAAGTCATATTGCTTGACCACACAGACGGACTTGAGCTTCGTGGCCAAGTCAATGAACAGCAAGAAGCGTAGCTTCACCTTTTGATTTGGCACCACTCAGAGGCGTCCACGCCCACAGCCTGCCAGGCCTTGTAGAGCGAGTGTGTCGATGCTGGAGGAACCTTGCCAGAGCTATAGCCACCAAGTTTGAGGCTTTGACAAGTTTCGCAAACAAAGGTCTTGGCCATGTGAAGCTTCCATGTCGGAAGTCCAGCATCTTTGAACAGATGTAGAAGGCTGCGATTGCTTGGATGTCCAGCAGCGCGATGATAATGTCGAAGGCGAGCCAACCACTGATCTTGATCTTTCTTGGAAATCTTTGCTAGAGGATTGGCTTCCTCTGGTGGCTCAGGAGGATCACCATCATCAGGAACAAGTTCTGCTGGAAGCGCGTCAGGTTCAGGCAGAAGCTTTTGCCTTCTTATCCAGCTTTCATCTTCATGATCGGCCTCATTGGAGCCAGTGGTGAGGTATTTGAGATGCCGTAGAGGAACAAGTTCTCGCTTCCAGTGACGAACAATGGCCTCTACCATCCGGCGGGGATAGTATGCCGATCTTGAGGTTTCAATGCCTTCGATCAAGGCATGTTGGTGGTTCTTTGGACAGACCTGTGCCCTGAAGTTCTAGTGGAAGAGCTCGTCAGTGGTCTTGATGAGCCAGCGCTTGTGCAGGAAGAGGTCGTTGTTGCGATCTCTCATGCCATAGTTGCAACCATCAATGCGACATGACTCCCAAGGAATAGAGCGCTTGTGAAGCTCATGTTCCAAGAACACCATTGGATGTTGTGTCCATCCAGAGCAGGGAAAAGTCCATTCAAAGTAGACATCGGCATTGGGGTCATCGTCCAAGGTGTCAATGATGAAGTCAGCTGCCCATCGAAGCATCCTTCTCTCACGCCTTCGATGGCTTTCAAGAACTTCACGGTCGTCGAGAGGCTTGGAGTCCACAATGGACTGCATGAGAGCCGGACTGCTGTGTTGTCCACGTACATGCTGATACAGTTTCCAAAGCAACTCTTGACTGCGACGATCATCGACGGTCGGTGCGCGATCAGCAACTGACATGTAAAATTCCAAAGGACGGAACTGCAAAGTAGCCGTTGACAAATGATGTGACTGATTGTCCACATGAATCCGTGCATGACCCTTCTGGTTTCGATGACCTCGGGTTAGGTGATATACGATGTCGTACTCAAAGTGGCCCTATAGCATTGGACTTGAGCTTGTAGATGGAGGGTTCCTTGTCGACACCGTCAATCACATAGCCCGACATGAATTCCACCATCATTTGGCAACCTGTCTTTCCCAAGCGGTCCAGGATGGGTACAATGTTCTTCACAGACAACTCTTCGGGGTTTGGCAGTGAAAACAACGAGAAGAGAACTTCCGAGGTTGACCACTCACATTTGAAACAAGGGTGGCACGATACAAGGCTTGTCCCCAGCGACCGTTCCCAAAGCGAAAGTGCGGCCGCATGTATGGCTCGATCGTCACTTGTGCTGACTTGTCGGCCTGGAGAATGGCCTGAATGAGAGCGGCGGCTGTCGCGCCACAATCAAGCATTCCAGTGGATGCTTTTGCCACTGATGGATTCCCTGAGCGCTGTGCCGCTCCAAGGTCAGCTTCAGCTGAGGTGCAAAGCTTAAGGCCTCCGATGTCAAAGTGCTGGGTGGCATGGGCGTTCACGGAAGGAGTGGACTTGCCACCATTGAATCCCTTGCCCTTGCCCTTGTATCGGGAGCTGGTCCAAAACATGTCATGAGGTTCAACCATGTAGGAGGATTTTGACTTGCTTTTGCTTGAACCCTTTTTGGTCTTGCCCTTCATGAAAAACATGTCGTGGGGGTAGGAGTCCATTGTAGTTACCAAACTTGCTTTTGCCCTTCCCAGGTTTTCCAAACATCGGAACTCGACGGTCGGGGCAATCTCGAACAAAATGATTCCCACCACAGTTGAAACATTTGTTGCCGGTGTGCTGACCAAAACCACGGTCTGATTCATCTGTTGGGTCGTGCGTTGAGCTTCGGCCCAAGTCCTCTTGGCCTCCAAGGCCAACTGTTCAGCAGCTTGCTCGGCCTTCTGAGCCTCATCAGGTTCTTCAGCAACAGCCAGGGATGAAGTTGGTTCTTCATCAGGCCATGGATGGTCATCATGCTCTTCTTCATGCCATTGCGACTCCCACCAAGAGTCGTCATGGTCCCAGGTTTCAGGAACATGCCATTCATCATCTTCCCAGGACTGCCAGTTCAAATGGCCATACGAGGGTGTAGAAGACGATGAGGATGGTTGATGACCTAAGAGTTGCTCGTCCCACAGAGTCTGTAGTGCCCTGCTGATGGCCTCAAAGTCAAGGCTGTTCTGCGTCGCCGACAAGATGTCTCTTGTCTCTTCTGGGTTGAGGCGCGCGGCTTGAAGAAGTCGCCAGCCCCTGAGAACGCCCATGATGAACGAGTCGGTCACGGACAACTCATTGACTCCCATCGTTGAAGGAGCTTGAATGCCAGCTGAGATCACGGAGGGGGCACGTCGTGCAGGTTCACCATGACTTGGAGAGGAGCCTGCACTGGCTCGAGCAGCACACTCAGACGCAGGAGCATCCTTGGTTGGTGTTTTGACTTCACCAGCGCTGGCCTCAGGGTCACGAGGAGGTTCTCCATGATCGCCAGATTCGTCAGGATGATGTTGGTCCTCATCATAGTTCTCATACCACCAATCCCAGGAAGAGTCCTCAATGGGAGGTAGTCCAAAGTTCACTTCACTTTGGCTCACGCCATTCTTCTCTTCCCATAGGCGAAGAAGCGACTCAGCGAATTCCTCATAGCCAAGCGTTTCCCTGACAAGGAAGGTGGCCATACCTTCATGTGGTCTTCTGCGGAAGCTCAGGTATTGCTGAAGGATGCCGCCGTGTTGGGTAAAGTTCTTCGTACGAGCGGCGAAGAGTTCAACTTCCGCAGGAGGTTGAGGGTGCCATCCGGAGAGTCGAACTCACCATGATTCCAGCTCATAGCTAGAAGGCGAGATGGACCTTGAAGTCTGCTGATGAGCTTGCATGCAGCATATCTTCGTTTCTCCACTGGCGTTGAGGACACGAACCATGCCAGCCCTTCGCCTGACCATCCCAAGTGGGGATGCATCGACAAAGCCATCCTTCTCCGACATCACAGGAAGGGGAAAACTGCGAAGCTGACGCTCAGCTCCAAAGCAAAACAAGTTGTAGCCGTAGGGGTCGGCCAGGAGAACGTATAAAAGGTGGCGCGCCGAAGATCACCTCGAAGTAGGCCAGAGCGAAGATATCGATGGCCTGCAACCAGCGAAGATCAGGTGCACCGCTGCTTGAGGACACCGCAATCGAAGTCGAAAGCGTCGTTCTCGAGCAGCAGGAAGTTTCTTGGAGCAATGCTCCGCTACCAATGTAGCGGTGGTAGCACAAGGAGGTGATCGGGCTCAACCAAATGGGTCTTCTATCAAACCTTTTTTTCAAGGATCCGTGGATCCTGAGCACGCCTTTTCCACACAAGGCCACGTCAGGCCTGAGCACCAGCCATGGGTCGAGGCTGAGCCGTCAAAGAAGGGTTTTCCTGTGGAGCCAAGAGACATAGGATGCATGTACATGTCACAAGCTGAGCCTGAAAGGCTGGAAGTTGCACAGTCCCATGAGTCCCCGTCTGGGTTACCTGATTGGTGCCCGTCAGCGTAGGGGGCCGCGTTGGCTTCGTTGGTTCCACTCCGAGTCTCCGAGAAGAGGTTGGTCGGAAGAGGGGCAAACTGCAGAGGACCACCCAATGCTTGCAGTCAGAATATGATATAATATTACAAGTACCAGGGGCCCTCAAAACCATGAAAAACACAAAGCTTTTCACATGCAATTCATACAATGCTATATATATATATTATCATATTATAGTTCCCGACACCCACTTCATAAAGGTTTTTGGATGTAGGAAACATCTTTTTCTTAAGTGGTTGTCCGTCAGTATAGGACATCAGAGTATGAGTATGATGAGCTGGTCCACAGCCAAATCGTTGTTGGACATTTGTCGTGGAAAGAAGGCATGGAATCTGATGGGAACGGAATAGATGAGGGTGGTTCAGATTTCTCTTTAAGGGAGACCAGCGAGTCTTTTTTGCGTAGAGAAGATCAGTAGGTGGACCTCGTCGTATGGGTGGCAACCAAAAGGCGAACTTGTTGCTTGAAAGTGCTTAGATTTTGACCAGGGCTAAGGTTTGTTCGGACCTGCTGGCCACCATTCATGTTTGTCCGATGGCGAATGAGGTGTGAATAGATGAGGTTTGACCCTCAGTCACTGTCCATGATACCATGATTTTTGTTCCATCCATCAGGTGTCTCGTTCTGGGCAGTGTTCTGCGCCTACCCCGGAAAGACATCAGTTGACTCCTGGATCTTTGTTGAGTTGACTCACACTGCTTGGAGTTTGGAGCTACCTCCCAGTATATATTCCCATGTGCAGTCACTAGATGGCTTCGCGGGTTCCTCAAGTTGTATGAGTCGTTGGTGGACGCAAGCAAACCATTGTGTTTCATCATGCATAGAGCAGGATCCCAAGGCACTCCACCCAACAAGAAGACATTTATTGTCGTTGTAGCTCGCACAACAATCTGGCTCGGTCTATTTTACCATGAATGGTTCTGGTTCGCGAAACAGACAGGAAAGACAGCACGGCTGGGCAACTTGAGTCATAGGCCATGAGTTGAGTTCAGCGGCACTGAACAATATGTATAGGTCTTCTAGGTGATCAGATCTTGCCACTGCCAGCGTGGGTGACAGCCGTGGGCGCTTGTGCAGCTGGATAGTGGCGGTGGGCTTTGCAAAGCGGCTGAGCCGATGCCTTGGAGCCGCCACTGCTTTATGTTTCCATAACTCGTACCCAAGTCCAGGCACTGTCAATGCCACCTGATCGCGATCCGCTGCTACACCCCACATCGTTGTCATTCGTCAGCTCAGTCGTTGGCTTCATGCAGAAGGGCCAGTTCGATCAGATGTGAGGTCCTGAGAAGCCCCGCAAAGTCCAGTGTTGCTTGTACGTGGGTTGGCGCCAGGTTCTGTCACATGCCAAGCATGACAGGCGAGGCTAGCATGGGCTTGAATTGTTGGGAGGCCAATCTGGCCTTGTTTGGGGCTTGGAGTGGAATTCACAAGTCCAAAGGTGTTGTTTCATTTTGTGTGGTGGGAATTTTTGGATCTTCATCATGTTTTTTTGAACAAATGTTTGCTGTTTAGTGAGCAGTCAAAATAATATAGCAGCCATAGGTTTCTGAAACCATGACATTTAGCGACTTAGTGACTCAGTTTTCAGTATGTGACACAACTTGCACTGCTCTGGCTCCCGAAAACCCACTAAGCCCATCTAAGCCCGGAAATTCGACTTGACTTGTCCAATTTTAGAGCTGCCCATGTGTTGAATGTGCACACTGAAATGTGTTTTGAATTTGTTGAACTCCACTTGCATCCGCCCACCAGTCACCAGACGTAAACGACGTTATCCTTTGTTCCACTGGCATTGGGAAACGCATCCAAAAGACTCATATATGGCACCAAAATGCGTTTAAATTACAAACATGCACTGCTGCACCATGTAAAACCAACAAATTGAACATGTCAGCCCCACACCACTGATCTGGATTTCGGATGATTTCCGCCGCTTGAAGTGTCTTTTGATGGTGTCAGGTTTACTCAGCCTGCGAAGATCTTCAAACGGGCACCACCAGCCTTCAGGTTCGTTTTTTTTTGCGGACGAACGGGGTCCTCGTCAGGTCCAGTAAAATGTTTGTTGCGACCACGATGAGAGAACACGTTCCAATCTGATTTGTTTTTTTTGACAGTTGCAAAGGTTTTTCCCTCAAACTGCTACATGTGTTGAGGTCCAAAACCCTAGTTTTGTGATGTTTTTTGAGGATCGTTATATAACCCTGTTGCAACTGAAACTCCAGTGAGCCTTCTGGGCTAGCAGACCAACGATCCTTTGAAACCCTCCAACTGTTACTCCTTTTGGAGCCAACGGAACTACCGGCCCAGGGTGAAGATTCCACCGGCACAGCCGGAGGGTGCATCACCCATCACGCCCGGGTGACCCGGGTCTTGGGTAGTGTCGGTGTTTATCTTCAATGTGATGCGTTTCAATTGTTTTTGGACTAGTCTAGTAGCAAAGTCGTCAGCCAAGTCAACTGGGATTGCCCAGAGTTGAGTTGCAGACTTCTGATCCTTTCAACAGCCTGCAGGTCCTCTCAATCAAAAAAACACACATCAGCCTGCGAAGATCCATCCGTGCGCTGCACCTGTGTGGTTCCGCGCCGATGACTGCTTAGGGTCTATGGCATTTTGGATCCGCTGAGTGTCGGGCAACTGAGAAGGGTAACGGTCATTGTTGGATGTGGGCCTGTTTGATTGCAGGTTTTACAACCTGAGAAGGGCAGTTTCTTCTCCGAACTGGATGGGAATGAGCATTCGAGCACTGCGGAAGCTGAAAGTACCAGCCAGTTTGTTCTTCTTTAGATTCCTCTGATCGGGTTTCAGCATGTTTCAAGTGATTGATGTTTCTCTACTATCCCGGACTATCCCCTTGGGCCTGCAGGGCCACAACGACCCATTCAACTCGGATGTTTTTTCGACCGGAGACGGGACAACGAGAGATGAAAAGAGCACATGGTTTTCCGTTCTTCTCATGGCCATGTTTTCAAGGCTTTGATGTAATTGATTTGTATAAACAAGTAAAATCAAAACTGGACCATCTCATCTCCAGACCTTCAGTACCGACCTTGAGTACCAGTACCGTGCTTTCCTCGTGCTTTCCTTTTCGCATTGCTTCGCTCCCACGCGACACACCGCAGACCACGGCGCAAAGCGCCTCAGCAGCCCTGGCGCTCTTTGGGATGGCCTTCAATGCCGAGGCGCGCAGGGTGGAGCGAAAAACACGGCGCAGGTGGAGCGTTTATCAAGCAAACACTTTGAGGTGGAGCCTTTTTTTTAAAGATTGGATGGGGATGTGAGACACCGGGTTGCATTGGGTGAGTGTGTTTTGATGTTTTTTTTGTTGGTCTGAGACCGAAGATTTTGGTGAGCTTAGCGAGCTTAGCTTGTTGGATATTTTATGGTATGTTTGGGCTGGACAAGAGGTGGGTCACTTGATAGTAGAAGATGGTAGAAGTGGTGCTTTCTTCTTGGATGTAGTTGTAGGGAAGAATGAAAGACTGTGGAGTGGACTGATGTTTTTTTAAGAGTAATTTCGGGTTACTGGTGATTGATCCTTGAAAGCCTGATTTCACGCGATCCAGACCAGTTTTCTTATCCTTGACGACTATATCTCATCAATGGTAGGACTGGAGTAGAGTTTAACAGTCTTCGGTGTATCCATGACTGGCTTTTACCGCAAGAAGAACAAGACCAGGCCTGGGGTCTGAATTATTGCATCAATATATGGTTGTCGATCTAAAGGTCCTAGTCAGCAGTGTGTATGACGATGACCCGGAACATATCAAAATCTCATGTGGCGAAAGTTGTTTCTCGAGTTGGCGAAAGTAATTTTTTTTTTTGCGAAAGATCTGGCGAAAGATTAAATATGTACTTTTGTATGAATGTTCATTTGCTTTCTGAACAGCTGGTGGCAGTGACTCAGAAGCTAGATGAGCTGTGGAAGTTATAGTGAGTTGCTAGCAGATAGAATATGGACTAATTGAGATTTCTCTAATTAGTCATAATCTAAGTGTATGTTGGAAAAAAGTCATGGGTAAATGCAGCGAACCCACATAGAATACAAACGCTACCTGCAGTTAGAATATAACCTTGCTTGCTTGCTTGCTGCATTGTAGCTGTTCAAGCTCCTAAGTGCATGATCCTCGTATTCTAACTGCATGCCATATTCTAACTGCAATGCTACTAAAAATAATTAGTTTTTGATGTGGTTTGCGTATTCTATCTGCAACTAATTGTTCTGAGCAAATTCTAAGTGCTAGCAACTCACTATAGATAACCTGCTGCTGCTGCGGCAGCTACTACTACTACTACGACTACCACTACCACTACCACTACTACTACTACTACTACTACTACTACTATTCCTGCTCCTGCTTTGGGGGGTGGCTTTCCACAAAACTCTACCCCGCAAAAGGCGAAAGTTTGACTACTACTACTACTACTACTATTCCTGCTCCTGCTTTGGGGGGTGGCTTTGCCACAAAACTCTACCCCGCAAAAGGCGAAAGTTTGGCTACTACTACTACTACTACTATTCCTGCTCCTGCTTTGGGGGGTGGCTTTGCCACAAAACTCTACCCCGCAAAAGGCGAAAGTTTGGCGAAAGTTCAGCTCAAGATTGGCGAAAGTTCACCCTGCCACATCTGACCCCCAGCCCATTATGAGCGTTATGAGTACGTTTGAGTGACCGGCTACTACAGTGATTCTTGCAATTTTGATTCTTGCTGACACCCAGGAGAAACAAAAGAGACGTACAGGGTGTCAACAGTTAAGTAGAAGACACATGCTGACAAACAGTGAAGTTTCTGTTTTGTGCTTGCCAGTAAAGAAGAAGCCATTGACGTGAACAAAACACAACATACATGGCACACATAAATACAACGTACTTCGGCGAAAGATAAAACGCAGGAAGGCGAAAGTTTGGCGAAAGTAATTTTTTTTGGCGAAAATGACGAATCCCGGATAAAGGAATTTAGATCAACTCCCATATAGAAACCTGCAGAATCCTGTAATACGTACAATCAAGCAATTCCATGATAGATCACTCCATTTAGACACCTTCCGCAATAACCAGATTACACCCGCTCGTGCTTCATGGCACCAGCTCGCACAGTGACCGTCGCAGACGCGCAGACGCTCCAAGGTGAACTTGGTCTTGAACCCGCCGATGCAGGTGGAGGAGTATCCCCTCAAGCGCTACTACCGGGAGGCCCGATGCAGGTGGAGGCCCTGAAAAATCATCCCAGCGGTCCAGATCAGAGATCCCCTTAAGGTAGGAGATTGACTTGGGCCAATCAAACGTTTTAGAAATACAAGAGCTAGCAGAGCCAGGGGCTGAGACAGAAGCGCCAAAAGCTGAGAATTGGCTCTGTGACTGGAGAATCACGCAAAAAGAAAGTCACAGCTTGGCCAGACACCAAATGTCAGCCAATAGAAAGGCTTGTGAAGTCGATTCCTTTACACTTTAATGACCTTTAAGCTCTAAAGGCTCTAATTACATCTATAGGTTTGTTAGGCAGGATTTTTGTGCACCACCAAAGAAGGTGAGATTGTTGACCTAAGGTGGCAATGCTTCTAGAATCTTCTAGAATCTTCTAGACTTCTAGATTCTAGGTTTCCCAAGCGAAGCTGAAGGGGTTGGAATCCAACATCCGCCAACCATGGTCATCCACCACGCCAGATCCAACCCAAGAGAGGCACCGAATCGGATGTGGCGGAAGGTAGTCCGCTGGCCGGAAAGATTGGCCGATGGACGGCTTCTGGCGGAGGTGGCGCAGGAAGCCAACCAGCAGGCGTGTCCAGTCGTTCGAGTGAAGTGGATGGGAGATTTAACCTAAAAGCAATGGCCTCCAACCTACTAGCGATGGCCTCCAACCTAGTAGGGAGGGGAGCGGGCTAAAGAAGGGGATCATAGTGAACCAACATGAACCAACTTTTAACTCTTGGTGGATGACGTGGAAGGTTTGGGAAGATCAACAAATCGCTGATAGCCATTGAGATTCCATCAGCTCGACTCGACCCTTGAAATGGAGATCCCTACAATTGCCCTTCAACTTGTGAAAAAGCTATTCTTCACTTATGCCGTAAGTTGATGGTTTTATCGTGTTTTGGCGAAATCAGATGGTTTTTCCATGTCTCTTCTCTTCGGATCTCCATCCTCGGACGCTGCCCGACAGTCGCCAGGTCGGTCGAGGCCTGGCAGAGTTCACCCTGGCCACGCAGCCGCACGGCGAAGAAGCCATGCGACGTGGGTGGCAGTGGCGTTTGAATGCTTCTCGAAGCCATGAGGTGGCGTAAACTGGAGCAACTTGGGTGTGCAGTGGATCCCTGAAGCAAAGAAAACTGTAGAACAATCATACATAATTAGCTTTGATAGGGTAGCAGATGAATTTCAATATATATATATATACATTTAATATATAATATATACTACTGTACATGGAATTTAGATTCAGATGGTTTGATCATTTTTGAGAAGTACCATTTGTGAAGACCAAGCAGCAAACACTGTCATATATGACCCTCAGTATGGATCAGTCGTCATTCGTCATTGTCAGTCTATTCAAGTCCGTTTGGTTCGTGAAACGGGGTCAGCCAGCGTGCAGAACTGTCTAGAAGTCTCAGGAGCCCCATGGTCGTGCGATACGGGAACCATCGGCACTGTCCCAAGTCCCCTACAGCAGCAGTCCCAAGTCCCCTACTCAAATTTTGAGTTGCCTATTTTCCTGCCAACCCATGTTTGGGCGCATAGGTGTATTGTTTTTCTGCCAGCCCCGTGTCTAGCAAAAAAAAAAGAATACATTTGATTAATATATGCAATAATATATTTGTTTGGTAGCCAAATGCCGGTTTGGTTTTGGTGTTGGATTGGAAAGATGGAAAGAGAGAAGCAACTGATGATTTTTGTTGGAAGTCTTGTCTTGTGTACTAGATATAAGGGAGTATAGAAATAGCTTCTGAAGGTTTATCAGAAGCCTGAGCCAGATTATAACAATGATAAGGATGTCACTTCGATAATCATCTGAAAGGGAGCAGGGGAGCAGATTGGAAACCCCTTTTTGGCAAGACGTTTTCCAAGCAGCAAGCAAGTTAACCCAGACCCATCGATTCCGTGGAAGATTTGGTTTCCTTCTCGTCGCCCTGGAATTCGTGGATCACATGTGCAGCCTTGTGAAGCCCTGGGCCGTTCAATCTCCCCGATGTCTGAACTAGGAGCAAGGACGCTACTAGGGGCTCCTGGCCTTACTACTAGGAACAAAGAAGCTACTAGGAGCAAAGGGCATCGCTACTAGGAACAAGGACGCTACCGAAAATTCCAGACACTCCATGCATGCAAACCCTAGGGCTCCGGGCCCACATCCCCAGGTTCGGTGGTTGGGGTGGGTGCCAGGGGGTGTCTAACCACCGAACCTGAGGATATGGTTGGAGCCCTATAGGGAAATATAGCCTAGATGTTGTTGTTTTTTGATGGTGGTGAATGTAGGCGATATGAGCAGAAAACCTGGGTCCCGTTCCGGATCTATACTTAGCTGGGCCGAACAACCGGACTGAAAACAGTACCGTTTCCTCACGTGGTTCCAGGACCTGCGGACCCAGCTTACCATTGGAAAAGTGACTGAACACATGTGAACACTTCATAGTGGTGGGCCTAGGAACCCATAGTGAACACTATTAAAAAAAAAAACACATAGTGAACTCTTCAAAGGAAGGCGCTGCATGGTGGGCTCCCAACTCATCCCCGTTTCCTGCCGTGGACCGCGAACGAGGCACACGCTGACGGCGGCGGTCCACGCCTTGCCCACCTGGCTCGTGACGGCTCACGAGGCGCAACTGGCGGCGGTCCACGCCACGCCAAGAGGTTCCATGGACCAAGGAAAGTGAGAAAACGGCAGTGCAAACCGGATGTGCAAAACGGTGGCAGTGTCATTTTTGTTGAGGAAAAAAACCACACATAAGAAATGTGCAAAACGGATGTGCGAAACGGTGGTGCGAACGGTGGCAGTGTCATTTTGTGCGAACGGGGCAGAGTTTCACACAGTATTTAGGGGGCAGTTTTGGGGTGGTTTGGCAGATGTAGGTGCGTAATTTCTTTCGGCTAGCATCAGACGTGCGCGGATTTGGTTTTGAGATGAACTTGGGACATGAGGCAGCGTGCTTTGGCCAAAGTTGTGTTTGTTGCAACCACTGCTTTGGTACACAAAGGACTTGTGCATAGCGGTGATCCACCCGTCCTTGTTTTCCGTGGTGAGCAGTGTTCCTTTTTTAGTCGTTGTGTTTGCATGGAGGTACACAGGTACACGTCCTTGAGTACGCCACGGAACAGCCCCTGGAAGAGTGAATGTCGAGTTCAGAAGGTGCAGTAAAGCACTGAAGTCAAGACTAACTACATTGAGGAATCCCGAATTGATTGTTGGATTGAAGCAGATCTATTTGAGTGACTGTTTTATTCCAAACATGTTGGGTATTGACATCTATTGTTGTCGTTTTTCCCACTACTAACAGATCCCCAAAGCAGCATATAGATAGTCATATAGGCCTAGGGTTTGTCCGTTCTTACCTGTAACAGGACCCGTAAACAAGCAAATCATCATGTTTGAACTGTCGGCCTGCTTGCCCAGGCCCCATCATCCATTGGGCCCAGGTAGACTCGGGTAGACCCGGTGGCGGCCCGGTAGGCGTTGCACGACATGGACAACCTGCGGCCAGTAGACGTGCTAAGCAAAGGCGGCCGGTGGCCAAGGGCGGCCACGGTTTGGGAAGCTGTGCTGTTTCTTCATGTTCGGGTTTGTTGAATCCTGTGAGTGGGAAAGAAGGTGTACAAAGCACGGTTGTTCCACATGTTTAAACTTAAACACCATAAGGATGTGACACAATGGGACTCCCACCCTATGAATATCACCAAGCAGATACACATTTTGGTTTTGTGGCTGGAATCCCATACAATGGTTACTAATTAATGATCGGAAGCTCACCGTCCTATTGTACAGTTCATGTTTCGTATCCCTATTCCCCGCGAGAGTCAGCAACCAGAGGTCTCACCATGGTTAAGTTCATAATGTCCCAGAAGCCCTAAGTCCTATCCGCCGTCGGAATGGGAGATGTAAGATAACCCAGACGCTCCATGGGACTGCCATACATGCCTACATTGGGGTGGTTTGGGGGTCAATGTAGGCATACCCATGGAGTGTATGGGTAAGATACTGACCAAAGTATGTCAAGGCTTTGGACCCAACCGTGATCGTGGGAAGCGAGATTCTGTGCTCAGGATCACAGAAGGAGACCTTTTTTAAAGGGATTTGGTCGGATTCTCAGGGTCTGTCCCATTACCTGTAACAGTCAGTAATCAATTACCACGAGCGAGAAAGGCCTGCCACCAGGCTCCATCATTATCCACTGGGCGCTGGGAGGTTGGGACATATACCCAAGATATCCTTATTGTTGAAAGGATCCCGTTTGTGGAAGGAGACCAATCATGGGCACAGCCAGAAACTTCACGACGCGCCGCTGACCACCCTCCTCCGCCTTCCGTGTGACGGACGGCGGTCCCAGGGGGTCATTGCCAGACCACGTCGGGGTGCTGAGGAGAAGGGCGGCAGGGGGTGGGATGGAAGGAGAAGGGCAGTGACTTCACCAGCCTTTTTGCAGTTTTCTGAAGTGTCACCATTCGTTTTGAGCGTCCAATAAAATGGATCCCAAAGCTTGATGTCGCCTGGGTGGCCTTCGTGAGATGGTGCTTTTTTTGTTATGAAAGAATGGCTGAGGTGTGGAGATGCTATACCAATCTATACCATTCTATACCACATCTCTGGGGAAAAGTCTTGGACACCTGTCTTCACATCTGAGTGCAAACCTCCCTCGCCAAAGTAAACCCAAGGGCCCACCACCGTCTCGACTGTCCAAGGTATGCTTTGCGACAGCTGTACGCGACTCCTGCATGTGTTTGCATGCGTACGCGATGTGCCAGGGAGGAGCGTTGATTGGAACCAAAGGGTCCGGTTCTCGACCAGTCCGCCACATGAGGTGGAACACATTTTCGCGTGAAAGGACTTGATGTGCCACAGATCTGGCATCCAGGCATCCAGATAGTGGAACACATGCGCCAGGTGGAGGGGCAAGCAATGATCCTGGGTGCACAGGGTTGGCCCATCGCCACTGCCAAGGGCATGCAGGTGCTTGGGCCGACGGGACACCGTAATACATCGTAATACTGTAAAGGCCCTAAACTAATGCATTCCCTGGCCTGTCAGGAGATTCTGTTGAAAGACTTTATGATGAGATCTATAAGTTTCTTCGTGTTTCCTCTATGAACTGGTGCAGGGTACAGTCAGACTGCTTCAATTGATTCACTTCTCCAAGTCCCGCTGTAGTCGCCATTTGCCTGCGCAGTTTGAGATCACTGGCAAGGGCGCTTTGGAGGCGCATGACATCAGCAAAAGATCCATCGGAGCATGGGGGCTGCACGAGGGTACGGGAGATATGGTGCAAACATATGCAACAAATCATCAAAAATCAGAATGAGTGAAACATTATTTCGACACTGCGGAACTCGCAGCGAGGGAGTTGCTGCGATGTTGAGAGAATTGAGGATGAATGCCCTTTTAGTGTGCCAGGATTTCGAGCTACAGATTTGGAGCTACACCATGCTCTCCCATTATCCAATTTAAACCACTGCAGGTCTTCCCCACTCCGATACACGCTCTCCCCGGCCGCGTACCGAACTGTGTGGTGGGTGACGCCCTGACTGTTAGGTGATCGGGAGCGTGACTCAAACACGCTCCAGACCTCCACCCATCCCAGACCTCCGCCTCCCGACCGTCTTCTTGACCAAGCACAGACAGCATGCAACGACGAGAGGCATCCGACGACACCATCGTCATGGGCAACTTGGGATACTTTCAGGTTCCGCCCTCCCCCCGGCGGCGGTGAGTCACGGCCTGGCATGCGTGCGCGGGTGGTTTTCTGCCGGGTGGCTTCCGCATGCGGCAAGACTGACTGGCACGTGGACGAATCCACGTTCTTCGAACGTTTCTCAGAGCAACGATGAGCGGTTTTAGATGAAGGTCTTCAAACGCAGGACCTGACAGGTCACTTGGAGGGTAGGTTGAGCTTTGTTTATGCTTCAGATGCCAAAGATTAGATCCAGAATCCAGGGCATCCAAGTCCAAGGATCACCGAATCCTGGAATCCTCCGCGGCAGCTTTTGGCTCGTTCTGAGGGGCGCGGTAGAACCCCGCCCACCTTGGGGAAGGCGACCAAATCATGGTGCCCCCAGTGTGGAACAAAGACTCAACCTCCTCAAAAGTTCTCCCAAGAGTTCGCCCGCAAATGTTGCAGAACTGATCCAAGGCTCTTTTCGATTCTTTTTGAACTTTTTGACCTCGAAAAACCAGCTACTACCCTCCATTTGGGCCCTGCAAGGTGATGAAAGTCAAGCTTGGGGTAGCTCAAGCCACCCACCACCAGCCGCCCCTCCACCCGATTCACTAGAAAAGCAGACCGGAATCATGATGCACCTATCCTTGTCAACAGGCATTACCAGGACCATCCTGTTTGGGTGCCCAAGGGACTGGCCCTATACCACTACTTGGGATCTCCTCTCATCGATCTAAAAGGGACTTTAAGGAACTCGAAGAACTGATCTACGACCCGTTTCTTTCCAGACTTTTGTCACATCGGCAGGTAAGGAGCCACGTGAGCGATTTTTCAAGGAAAGGGTTCTTAGCACGATGATCCACAAAAGGACATTTTGTGATTTTGTGCAGCCTTCACTGACTAGTGACCTCAAAGAACATCAAAGAACAGGTGAAGCCAAAAACAGACACCTAGCATCACCTAGCCTCAACTAGCTGCTAACGCCATGGCCACCATGGTGTTAATCTCCTTTTCCACTGCTCTTTTGGCAGAGCTTTCTGGAGCCACTTTGGGCTTTGGCCCGGCGATCCTCTACGAAGCTTGGACCAAACGGACCGACCGGAGAGTGGCTCTTAGTTTCGGAGGTTGGAGGGAACACTCTGAGGTGTTTTGGGGGAAGACGGTCCCCGATTCGAGAAAGCAAGGTTGGGGTGCTGGGGTGCAGGTTGGAGTGGCTTGGTAGTTGACTACAAAGATATGATATGGCTGGGGTCTAGTAGCTTAGGATGTATCAGAACCAACTACAGTATGTCAGACCATCAGACCAAGGGTAGCCTTTGAGCCATTCACGGTGGCTTTCTGGTCCGGACGATTTGTAGAGCACTGACATGACAATATGTTTAATAATAAGAAAAACCTGCCCCATCCTTCCTGCCCGCGAAGACAAAACATATGTTTGAAACCAACTCGGTTTTTTCCCAACTCAGTCGAGCTCAGGAGATCTCCTGGCAACTGTCTTCCGTGCTGAACCTGAGCTCCGGAGCCTTAGAAATGGCCGCGCCTCGGTCACCGAGATGACGCGCTGCACGGGGAGTCGCGGCGCCGGTCGCGGTGGGGTCGCAGGCAACGGGGTGGCGGTGACGGTGCCTGCGAGGTCTTCCACATCGTGCTGCAAGAGGTGCCCTGCAGTCTGCTGCAGATGGTCCTGTTGCGGAAATCTCTGCGTCCTCGTCTCCTCCTGGTCTCCGTGGTGCCGCTCCTGCCGCTTGGGGAAAAGGTTCAGGTGCAGAAAACCTCAGTCTCCAAGGTCGGAGAAAAGGGGGAGAAGGAGATCTTGTAGATCCAAGTCTAGATCATATGGCTTGGTGGGGGGGGTGCAAATGGAAGGGAAGAAACCATAAGAGTGGGTGGTTCATGTTTCATGCCCCTAACTTGGTTCCTTCGGTCGATTTCGGGGTCGTGCCTGGGGTGCGGTGACACAGTCCTCATGGACCGGCGACATGGAGACCATGGAGAAGTTCAAGTGTCACGTGCTCCAAAGAAACAATTGCTCTATATATAATCTCTGTAGGGATTGAAGCTAAGGGCTTTGAAGTCAATTAAACGGGGTAGCTGTTTCAAAAAGTGCAGCAGTGTAGCCCACCTTTGATCTTAGGGACCTGCGGTGATGGGATGCAGCTGGCTGATCGAGTGGTCTTCCTGTTCGAAGACGGACCCGTGCAGAGGCCTATTCGTCGGGTCCACTTGTTCTTGTTGAGCCAATGGGTGGCTACTAAGGGCCACCCTGCCATTGGGCACGCTGTTGCTGGTGCGCTTTGGGCACTCACTTTTTGCGAAGCAAGTCCTCGGTCACCTGGATTGGAGAAGGGGAAGGACTTGGAGCAGGTAATGGGGGGCAGATGGAAATTCGTGGATGTAATGGTTGACCGTGATGTGTTGTCATTGTTACACAAGCCAAAGCCAAAGGATTGGGTTTTGACGACATGACCGGTGGCAGTGTCTATAGTGACTTCCAAGGTTCTCTGGTTCAACGTGTTCTCCATTTGATTTTTTTATCGTGGGCATGGGCAGATGAGGAGTCCTTCTTCCACAAGCCTTGGGAAAAAGATGGAAAAAGGACTCTTCCGCATAGGCAGGGTCCGCACAATGTTTGTGAGGTAATTATATAGTCCGGTGTCCCAACCTTGCTTTGGTGTGGATGATTGTGGCTGCCGGGATGGTGGGGCAAACTCTCTGTGACAACGGGCTTTCAACATACTCAGTGTTTCCTAGCAGTCACTTGAGTTTATCCGATGTTTCGGTGCTTTTTGTTGTGCAGCGTAGTGGCGGTTTGCATAAGATTTGCCCTTGCGGGCTGTGGTGCAACCCTCTGATGTACGGACGTTCCCTCACATTTTGACACCAAAACTGAGATTATGCCAGAATGAATTATTTTGTAAGATGTTGTAAAGTAAGACCTGCATCTATGTCAATGGGTGGCTGCAACTAGTATATAACTACATGATGCTACATGGTCTTTGACTGCAGTCACTATGTCGTTCTTTTACATGTTAGTGCGTCTAGTCCTCTCTCTTTTTGTTGGGTCTTTGTGTAGGGACAGGCTTCTGATTTGTAGTGAAACCCTTTATGGCCGCTGCCAACTTCGGCACAAGCAAAGGCCAATTCTATACTCGGAAAGGACAGACAGAAGAAGCTTATAACGGACGGAGTTTGGGACGCATAGACCAAGTAGAGCGCATGCATACACCCATGACAGTTGCTGCTTGTGTACTTGGGCGCCCGGGCATGGGCAGCAGAACTTCTTCATTTCTGACAGGCTTGCGGTGGCTGGCCAGTTTGCCACTCAAAGTACCCCACAAGCAGTGGCAAGTAAGCTCGCACGGACGCGTTTGCAACACCAGGGGGGACATATCTCATGGGGGTCCTTGAAAGCTTGTGCAGAGTCAACATCCTGGGAACTAGTTGCTATGTCCATCGCTTGGTGGCTTTTGCTTTCCCGGGACCGCCGCCAACCTTTGAGACATGGCAGGTGCACCACCGGGATGGTCACATGGCCAACAATCGCTTGGAAAACCTCGAAGATGTGACGCCAAGGCAGAACGTGCTTGAGTCCTATGCAAAACCAAGGCGCACAGAGGCGGATCTCAGAGGTCTGTGATGTGGAGAGCTGTGGGGTCCAAGGACGCTGGACCACCTCGTCCTCGATGCTTTTCAGCAGCAGAATTGCTTAGCATACATCGGACGGGCCTGCCGCCATGGGAAAGCAGCAAAGCGTTATGAGGGCACCGATTCGCTGATCACGAAGCACATGCCAAGCTAGAAGGGGAGGAGTGGCGACCTCTTATCGACCCGATGTGCGGCAGAGACGTGCCTGGAAGGAAGGTGAGCTCACTGGGCAGGATACGGTCACAAAATGGCATTATTTCAAGGGGTTCTCTTTCAAAGCAAGGGTGCTACGTGACCGCCCTAACACTAAGATTCCAGCGTACTAATGTCCATCACCTTGTTGTTTTTTCTTTTCTGGGGCCACCTGTGAGCCACCAGCAGCGGTTTGTGAGTCATAAAGATTTGGACAAAGGGAACAACGCAGTTGAACACTTGGAATATGTTACACATGCTGAAAACATGGTTCACTGCTACGTGCATAATGGCATGCTCCCCAGGTCTGATGCAAAATCTGTTGAGACCAGATGTCGTGGCAGCACTTCAAAAGTGCAGCTGATTCGCTTAACGTGAGCTGTGGCTATATTTACCATTGCTTGGCCCGCCGCCAAAGACACACTGGCGGATTCGAGTTCAGACTGGCAAACATGAAATCAAACAGCAGGTGGGAGAAGAGTGGCGAAATGTTGATGCTGACATGACTGAAGCCCTTCTCCAAGAGCGAGCGCTGAGACAAAGAGTGACAGAGTCAGTGTGGCAGTACCTTCTTAGGGGAAAGGATTTAGAAGAGGCTTTTCACTTGAGGAAGTGGGAGAACCATGGAGAACCAAACCAAGCTGGCTCGACGCTCAGTGCTGAATGCGCTGAGCTTGATCTTCCTGAGACCAGCTGGAATCCTTTGAAGCGTGATGTCAATTGCAGCACTGTTGAAGGATGCAGGTAGGCTCGCGCACACAGGGGAGGTGCACCAAAGAACTTCAAAACGTTTGCCCCCCAATGGACGTGGACAATTCCCTGCTTTGTAGAGGAAAAGCATCTTCACAGGGGCCAGACAGTGCAGACAGTCCACTTCCATGATTGTCGGAGGGAGTGTGCCGGGTATATGTTTCAGAATTCATATATACTTTATATACATATATTTTGGAGACTCTTGATTTATAAAACCTCCTATTTGGATTAGTAAAACCTCTTCAAGCTTCGGGTCGGGCGTGTCGGCATTCTCAGCGTGTTTGATGTTTGACCTGAGGTGGATTTTTCCTGGCGCTGGCGGGCTTCAACGTTTGGAAAGAGTGCCTTGTTGGTGTGGAAAGAGGGGTGGAGATCGGCCAGGTCTTGTGCCAGTTTCTGAGTTTGGGTGCCGCCCTTGTCAGAAAGGAAAAACACAA